TGTTGGGGGTAGTAAACAGTGCATCTGGTGTGGCCTTCTACCAGTACAATGGATGGAGATTCGTCAGAATAAATATCCCAGTGTCGGCTCCGGTAAGATCCTTTGCAGATTTTGGGGAAACTACTGCATTGTGTGATTTGCACTCTAATCCCATATTTCATTTAGGGCGTAGAATGGGCATGGATTGGTAAGCTTCCAAATACCCTGAATGAGGTACTCTTCATGATGTCGTCAAGCCAGGCAAATCCACGACCAGCCTCTTCTTACCTGGAGTTCACTTACCAGAATCCACTTGGGGTAAGTGTTTGGATCGTCTAAACTAAAAAGTCGCAACAGGATTCTAGTGAGGTGGAAGATTGTATGGATTGTATTGTATGCTAATGAAAGCTTCCTACAGACCTACCACAATGCTACTGCTGAGTGGTGTTCTGCATACAAGACTGAAATGACCAATGATGGACTATCACAGCTGGTTTTGGATATGGAACAGGCCCCCAAGACTAACGAAAGCCATACTTTCACCAAACCTGTACACATCGATGGCAGCCTTACTCTTCCTGCAGGCTCGGCAGTATCGGAAGTGAGAGATGTAGGTATCGAAACGTGTTGGAGGTTTATATGGGAATCTTTTGAGTAACCTGCTAATGACCATATAGCACTCTTACCTGTCCAAAGCCTTGTGTACTCTAAATTTAGAAAATAATCTCTCCATTTTGTCTACTAGATCCTCTGTGAATCTGAATCCACGGCAGTCGACTACAAGTTCCATATTGACACAAAGACTTTAATTGACGACAGAAAAGATCTCGAAACTAAATTAGGAGGCGTACAGAACACCGTTTCTCAATCTATATCTATTAACAGTCCCAACCTGGGTAAGGAATGATGATGTAATATTGTATATTTTTATTCTTAGTGTGTACCTGCACTTTAAAATGTTTCTCTCTCCATCAGATGGACTTCACTTTGCCCACCTGGTTACTACCTGCAATACACCAGGATGTATTGCAAGCACAGTAGATTCTCTGACGGCAAACACGGTAAGCATGACTCGGGTGTGAAAGCATGCTATAATGTAGGGTAAAAATTAATCATTAATAAAATTTAATATTGCTAGGTCAATGGCGTCTCGGCATCTTACACGGGCATTGCTCTATTGAACAACACCAATGAGAAGCTGGACCTGACCTTTGCTGATGTAGCACTGGCAGGAGGTGCAGTTTGCTCTGTTACAAATATAAAGGCGCATGACACGGCCGTCATTCCCATGAACGAGCTAGTAACCCTCCACCAGGACCACACCATAACGGCAGATGTTACCTTCAACAAGGTTCTGGCAGATAACATGCAGGTTTCTGGTACAGGTAAGACATTTGATGGGTGTAAGCTTTATGAAATGCCGGTACCAGGGACTGGTATATGTAGCTTAAATATTTGGAGATAATGTCTTATTTGTCTTACTGGAACATTTCATTCAGTTGATGGCTTGACTGTGGATGATTCTACACTTCTACTGACCTACGGCACACAAACTGTAAATGGACTGGTAACGGTAGATGGTGTCGATACCACACTAATAACAACAACAAACGTCAATAGCAGAAACTTCAATGACTTCATAGATTCGCTGATTGTGAATGGTACAACCGACTCATTCCAAGGTAAATATTACTTGCTTGCCTATGCCATACCTTGATAATTTCAAAAGGATTACATATTAATTCCTAATTGTATTTTCTCAGGATTACTAGAAGTGGGTGACGACTTGATTGCCCCCAACATTGATACTTTGGAAGATATGAAGCCCCTCAACCCTGTAGACGTGGAGGCTCGTGCCCTCTTCCACACAAAGACCAGTACCCAAGTTGTTACAGGTAATTTGGATTGTTTTCCAAGTCTTGTGAATTCCTTTATGTAATAACTATTCAGTGTTACAAACTACTGAATACCATGCATATTCTTCGCAGGTCTTCATAGTGTTGGCAACCTGGAAGCAGTTAATGGAGTTTGGTTTGACCATCTAAACGGTGTTCTTGTACCAGATGATGTATTCCTTAAGGATGAAACGGTAACCGTCTCTGCTCCAACCACTTTCGACTCCATTACCGCTACTAGTATACAAGTAACCAATGCCATGAATGATGTGAAGGTAAGTAGCCTGCACCTTCATGGATGTATCTTGGCACATTGCATGGTGGCTTTGTATATGTTTGGCTTGTTTGTTCCAGCAAGTGGGAGGTAGCTTGGAATTCCTGTTGCTTGATAAGGATGCAACACTAACAAGCAAGACTTTCACTGATCTAACCCTGGAGAAAGACTCTACTGTGGCGAAGCTAGTAGCTGGCTACGACTTGGATTACCTAGCAAAGGGACTTCATGAAAAGTTCTTGCAGGATCTCAACTGTATGTAGATGGCATGGGGAGGGGATGGCTGCAAAATTTCTACAATTTGTAAGGTCGTATCCCTATAACTTCTCCCCAATAGCTGGAAGAGCTGTGAATGGTTCGGTGATCTTCGAGAAAGAACTGCATGTTACCAGTGACAAGATCCATGGTGTTAGTATTGGCAAGATCCGGGATACTGCTATTCCCCTCACTGCCACAAGCTTGAATCCTGCTCTGACCTTTGAAAAGCCTGTTCCGGTAAGCCCATGTTTAAACCTAGTAACCCTTCCTCTCGGCTTACCTGATCTTTCTTACCACCAGTAAACTTCTTTCATTCAAAGATTGCTGGTGCCATGACGGTGTCTTCTACCATTAATGGAGTTGCAAAGGATGACTATGTACTGCTAGACTCTGACCACACCATCGTCTCTCCAAAGACCTTCGTGTCGGATATGGTAAGTGGCTGGCTCTTCAAAACCTAAATGAAATTGATATTCTACAACTTGTATTCTATGGCAGTTGCTTCCTTCTCCAGGAGTGTCGTGAAGATGTGACGGCAGGTCTGGTCAGTGGTTATAACCTGGCTAAGTTTGCAAAGGATGTAGTTCTCAAGAAGGGACCTGCACAGATCATTGTCCAAGATCTGTCGATGGCCTCTGCAGATGTGAATGGGGACCTGAATGTTGCAGGTCAAATAACGATTGGAGGTGTAAACTTTAACAATGTGGTTGCTCTTAATGCAACTGAGACTGTGAGAGGCAAGTCTTCAATGCTAAACAATCTGGCAGTCTTGCAAGAATTGCATGTATTTGTGCAAGGCAAATTTTATTGCCACAATTAGAGCTGCAACATGTCTTGGAAAATGGTCTAACCACTAACTAAAATGCATAACGCAAAGCTTTGATAAGTGCAACTACTTGCAAGACTACCAAAACTTTTGCTTTACCATAATCAAAGATATGGCAATCCCCTTAAACAGCAGTGGATAAATTACATGCAATAATTCTTGCAGGCAAGAAGACTTTCACAAATGTAGAAGTAACCTCTTCAACATCTGCCGGTGCTGTGAATGTAGGAGACTTCGGAACCGTCGATGGAGTAGTGGTCAAGGAGATCTTCTTTGATGACAGCCTGAGGAAATCTGGTAAGTAGCCCTCTAGGAACAATTGCATCATTAAGCATAATCTTCTGAGCATGTACTAAGCTTTGTACTGCATTTCAGTAACTTCAACCCAGGAGTTGGTTGGTAGGGCCATGGACACCATAATAGCACAAAATGCCGAGGGAACAGACCTTGCAGGTTTTGAACGAAAGGTTGTGTACAAGGATGATATTGAAACCATTTCTGGTGCTCTAACACTTGAAGGTTCTGTTTCGATCGCCTCTCTGAACTTCGAAAGTAAGTCTGTGTGAAGAGGGGTGAAGGCATTGGTAATACATTGGTCAAGAATTCAACCTAAACTAATTGATCCTTGTGGTCAGGTGACTTTGATGGTGTTTCTGAAGCTGCATACAAGTCTGCTTGGCTCCTTAATGAGGGTCCCCAGACTTTGACTGGAAGCAACTCTCTTGCAAATGTTGATGCATCTGCTGTGAACTTCCAAGGAATCTATGTAGATGGTGTGCATCTTGGCCGATTGCATACAGTGACCGCTAAGATTGATGAACAAACAACACTGAACTCTACAACATTTGGTGAGGTCTTGGTACTTAAGTTCATTCTATAGAGTATTTTCTTCCCCTCCCACTTTTCCAAATTACCTCTTGGCAATGCATGCACATTAAATTTCAGACCAGGTCGAATCCCTGTCTGGAATTACCTTGGATGGAACTATCCAGGGGTGGCATCTTCATGAGCAAGCCTTGCAGTCTTCCTCAAATCATCAAAGGGTAGGTTTCTAGAGATGGGCTGCTATAACCATCTAGCACAAATTTCTGGAATGACTTGACCTTGTCTTGCAGGTCACTGGCAAGAAAAGATTTACAAACCCAGTCCACATCAAAAACAGTATTACGGTAGACGAAAATGTAATTATTCCTAGAGCTGGTGGAAGTCCCCTTGTGCTTGAAATGAGCCAGTTCTGTGATGCCTTCATGCAGAATGGAAAGGTCCTGGGAGATCTTGTGGTAAATGGTAGGTAAATTTGCTTAGGTTTGGCCTGTTTTCCATAGAATGGAATTGACCATTTCTATTTCTAGGTAATGCGGTGTTCAATAAGGACTTGGATATCAGTAAGTCCTTCAACAATGAAGATGTTTCAACCCTTGCTAGTGTATTCTGGTTGAGTGACATGGATAACACTGTATCCAGTGTAAAGCAGCTGGATACTGCCCAGGTTGCTGGGAATGCAGAAGTAATAATGAAGGTATGTCTTGGAACTGGCATGAAGCATATTGGATATTATATTTGTATAATCTTTCAAACCTACATGGAATCTTCTCTTCCTAGGGTTTGATAAATGGAGAAGACTTCTCTACTTTAGCATCTGATGTCCTGAAGAACAAATGTACATCTCAATCGGTAACTGCATCTTGGAATCTAGATAACCTAGAGGTATCTAGCTTGCAAACGGACACTGTAACAAATACTCTACTCGATTCGGATGTGGTAAGGTTTATTAAAATTTCCATCATGGGGGGGGGGGATGGGGATGAATAGCAAGGGTGCATATATGTAACTTGTAAATAATATTTCCCACAGTTTGACCTTGAAAGGATTCTGAGGACTGACAAAACCCAGACCATCACTGGTGCAAAGACTTTCCCAGAGGTCCAGGTTGCAGGTATGTTAAACCATAAACTACCCAGAACTGAAAAGGTTCCCTACCTGAAATGGAGACTAAATATTTTCTCCTTTAGGGTCTGTGGATCTTGATGGAACCCTCAATGGATTGGATGTGAAGACCAACTTAGTCCAGTATGGTAAGGGTGCAGATATAACTGCTCCCAAGACTTTCAATCAAAAGCTGACTGTAAAAGGAGACTTGTCAATGAGCAGTGGCACCACTGTGCAGGTATGAAGGTGTCAAAAAAAAAAAAAAAAAAAAAGCTAAAATTGAGCATTCCCATGAGTAAAAAATGCTTTGATTGCAGGGTGTTGATGTATCAGCATTTGAAGAGTCTGCTGTGCTGCATAACACTAGTGGTATTACCAAGTCTATCGGTGGAATTACCACCTTCAAAGGCCTGGTCTTGAAGACGCTGGAGTAAGTATATGGTATGGCCCTAGAGCATCAATGAACCCAATTTTTAGGCATGGAAAGTATATTAATCGTCTTGGTTTCCAGAGTTGGAGGTACTGTTGACACTGTACAGGTAGATAGTAATACTATACTCCTGACAAGTGGAGCACAAAGTGTGGCTGGCTTGGTGACGGTATCTGTACCTGGACAAGACAAGGTGGTCTTTGTTGATCAGAACCTGGAGGTCCAGGACCAAATGTTCAACACCATAAAGCTTGACAAGCTGTATGGAGATACGGTTGGTAGCTTAATATTGGATTATTTTAAAACGCACCTTGTACTAGATCTCGTATGTGACTTGACCCGACTCCTGCAGGTTCGTGTTGATGGCAGTAAAGATACTATTACAGCAGAAGTAACCTTCACAGCATCTCCAACCTTCTCCAGTATAACTCTTGAAAACCACCTTGTGAATGGCTACAATTTGACAGACCTAATCTTGTTCCTTGATGGGAAACACACCCTTGATAACATGGGAGATCATCTGGAAGAAGCAATCCAGTCTTCACAAGACTCTAATATGGTGCTTGAAGGTAATATTTCTTGTGCTTCCATAGATTGTTCTATCTGGAAAGCTTACCTGGAAATGGTTTTATAATATCTGAACCTACCAAATCTACAGAAAGACCTACTGACCTGTGGTACTTCTATGAAACCAAATTGCAAGAAACCTTGTATAAACTACAACCAATAACGTAAGTAAATTAAAAAATATCAAGGTAATGTGCATCATAACCTTATATATAGTCTTAATAACTGTACTCTCTTCATAGGTTGGCAAGTCCCTTGGGACACCGTTCCATTGATGCATTTGTTGGCTTGAACTGGGAAGACACCAGTATCCAGATTTATGGGCCTGAGCTTGGAAGGAAGTCGTTGGCTGATGAGCTGAAGGACATCTGTGAGGAAAAGGAACACTTGGATGTGTTGGCAGCCTTCCCACCAACAAGTGTGTAGACGGACATTTTGGGGATTCAAATGGTCAAATCCCACATGCTTGGCATCAGATCCCCATCTAATGGACTTGTGATTTCAGGTACTATTAGCATTCCTAAAGCCAAGGTAGCTGCAGGCTTGGGAAATAATCACTTGGCTGCATGTGGAGATTCGCTTGTAACTTTCCCATATGCTGCTGCACCAACATATCAACAGGTAAAATGGCTTCTACTTACCAGATTGAACAGTAACTGGTATTGAACAGGAACAGATTTAATAAATATTACTACAGATTTCAGATGAACTGGGCCAAGGAACTTCATATGGCCATGTATTCTCCCTAAACAATCCAGTGCAAACTGTCGTTTCCTTCAGCACTGTATCCTGCAAAGATCTAGTGGTATGTAAAAAAAAAAAAAAAAAAAACCCTGTGGTTGCCCTTGGTCTTGCAAATTCCTTGACTTGGATGTTAACAAGTAATTCTTTTTTCCAGCCATTCCACCTGGAAAATGGAAAAGACTGCTTGGCAGTGATTGATCATGGAACCACATCAGAAGTGATCTGTGGAACTGCACAGACTGGATACAGACTACTGAACTACCTGGGTACTAAACATGCAGTAAAGGTGAGGAATGGTAACTTTGCAGTGTTGACCAAATATTTACCAAATGCAGATGCTAATGATCTGGTAAATTTCAGGGAGCAGCATTTACCTTGGGTAATGAATACCTGGTTGTGCTGGAGGACGATTCATTCAGCTTTTCCTCAAACCTAAAGACCTTCAAATATGATCTGCATTCCAACACTATGGTCTTGGTAAGTATAGCTTCTACTATACCCTAGACTGCTGACTATTTCCTCACCAGACTAGGAGAGCAACTAATTTTCCTTCCTAAACCCTTAGGAGTTAAACCATGATCTGCAAAAGGCTTCTCACCTGGATGCCCTGGCTGGAAATCATAAAGCTTATGTAGCAGTAACTCACAGTATCTCCCCTGTTGCTGCAGGGGGTGTGGATATATTCACTGTTACTGATAAATCTGGATCTGTGGAGATGAAGAAAATGCAGGCAAGTATTTCTTAACCATGGTCATGTATGAGCACACTCCTTAATGTTCTTTGCTTTAACATGCCGACTCTTGCAGACTATAAAGGTGCCTGGTGCTCTTGCAAGCAATTTTGGAGAATTGGCCAAGTATGATGTGGGTCTCTTCGTCCAGACAGAGCACGGTGTTCACGTGTATGTTTTGAAGGGAATGCAGTTCGTGCATGAAAGGATGGTAAGAACCAATATTATCAGTTCCCCTATTTATGATAAATATTGTGCAGACAATTGCCTTGATATTAATTCTCAATCTTCCAACCACCCCAGGTTAAAACTGTACCTGCACGGAAACCCTTCTCGTTCCCATTCTTCCATACTGGCCAGAATACGACCTTCCTTCTGTATGCCGGAAATGATCTTGATGGACATCTCGAAAGGAATGCAAGAGTGTATGAAGCAGTCTACAGGCCTTAGTTTTAGATTTTTAAAATATATTTAATGAACTTCTTAAAGAGTTTAATTACAAATTCCTGATACATTTGCCACCACCCCATATCCTTGTCCCTCTTTGCATGAAGGATGTTGTATTAAATTTCGTAAATTGGCCCAACTTGACTAAACTTTCACTCTACTACTCCCATCTTCCCTTCTTTCATTACCTTCCTTACCCCTTCCTTTACTGCTCTCAAACTTTAGAGATTTGGAAAAGTTTAACTTCGTCCTAGTCACAAATGGCCTCGGAGCCACAGGCAATACTCCCTTTTTAATTGCCTAGGTCTTATCCCTCATGGGGACCCTGAGGGGGCTTCCTATAACCAGTAATGGAGATTGTGCCCCTTTTTAGAGGCATTTGAGTCTTGACCCTTTATTAAATGACCTCCCTAATGATTTACCGACCCCCTGACGGCTCCAACAACCGAGATTACCCACATCGGCAACGCCTATAAACCTAACCCGTCATGAACTATCTACCCAGAGAACCCAACCTCAAACTCCCCTCTCAACCTCCAATATCTTTGATACTTATTCAAAATACCCCCTACTATACCATGTTTAAACTCTTCAACCTTCTTGCCCATAACGCCTCACCTCTTCACACGACGCCCACCTTTCGTCCTTAAATTCCTGCCTCTACTCTTTGGAATACAATATTTGGCCCACCTAAATGGTATAAGGTTTTTATATCCCCTACAGCCCAGTATTATGAAAAAAATGCCTTAAACAAGACAAGATCCCCTTCAGCAAATGTCCTGATCATGTGCCATGTCAATAGAGTACGTCTTGAATCTGTAGTATCTAACCAGGTTGACCTCCCTGGTAAAACTAACATTGTACAACCCCGACTCCATTAATACTTGAAGAGAGGGATCTCCATTCCCCAAATAAATGCCCTATATATATGAGTGGTCAGATTGTGCACTGCTAGGGAGTGGTGGGAGAGGGGGTGTTGGATTGTGGAATGGTGGGGGATTGGATTGTGCAGCACTCGTACCTTGTGTCACAATTGGACCCACCCCATGTTGTCTTCTCTACAACGACACCCCCCCCCCCACCAACTGGTCAGTCCTGATGGAATCCATACTTTCTGCATAGAAATCTCTTCCTCAAAACCATACATCCTCCACTTGATCTAATCCTCTCCTGTTTATCCTGAACTTGCTCACCCCTCCACATCTACCTAATTATATTAATCCTTAAGTACCATCCTACTACATAACCATTAATGTATAACGCCTAACCAACATGAAAGGGGTAGGGATAGGGTTGGGTTAACTCCTATAGTGCTATGACCTCTTGTCTAAGCACATTTTCATCTAACTAAATTTCTAGGGTAACACTTTATCCCCAGCTGATGTCGGTGTATGACAAATTGGCCAGGTAATACGGTCATGACTAAAATTCTGTATCTGTAGATTACTACAGTAAGCTTCCTTGGGGCTATAAATTAAAACTTCAATATTTGGCAATAACATACATATGGTACTTCCGCATATTGGCCCATATCAACCTGCCCCCTCCCATTGTATTTGAACATTTAATTTTGGCAACCTTACAAAACTGTACCTTCACAGCCGGTCATTATTCAAATTTAATATTGTCCTCGCCGAGTTGAACTGCACTATCTCTGCTCGTCCAAATGCCATACACTACCTTACTTCAAACTATCCCTTGAACTATTCGGATATTTCTACTGTTGAATCGGTTATTTGAATTTGCTTTCCCCTGCTCTTCCTATTGACTTAAATTACAAAAACTGTTCTACTTCAACCATCTTTCCATGAAACTACCCCATTCACTTTAGTCAAGTTGTGAAGAGGTTTAGGTGCACAAGTTAATCTCCTTGCTATCCTGTCCACTATCATTGGTCAGTTTTGGACCACCTACAGTGAGAATTTTCCTATTCTCTCCTTACTTTGTTTCATACCCCAACCCCCGCACTTGGGGTCCAGTACCGACACTCTTACCGATTTATGCTCCATCTATCACACGTGTCTTCCTGATGACATGCTTATCTTCACAGGCACTATTCAGTTTAGCCTGCACAGCCATTCCACAATTTCTGCCCTAAATGAGTTCTGTGGTGGAGTGCTGAATGCTCCAAGCGATCAGCATGTAGTTATTGCTATGAGCATAGGCGACGAAAACACATGTCCAGTGTAGAGATCACCCCTACCTTTGGATTCAGCCCTTGCTTTAACTACTTTTGCATGATCTTTTTTCCCTTCCTCTGGCAAATCCTTTTGTTTAAAAGGAATCCAAAACTTTCCAGGCAAGACCACTACACCAAAGAACCTGTTGTCATTTTTTTTTTTTTTTTTCTTTTTCGGGGGGGGCCACCATTCAAGGCAAGTCTCTCTCTCCAAGCCAGATCTTGCGAGGTGACATCACTTTTGTTTTTGGATGTACAAAGCCCATTCAGGACTGACAATGCCAGTCGTTCATTCTTCCACCACAAGAAAAGACCATGCAAAATCAGTTGAGGCAAGGGCTAAGGTCCAAGGTAGGGGTTATCCCTTACGTTAGGCCTCGGTCTTCGTTTCCCAACCCCCTCCCACGACGACAACGAGCAAAGGATTGGGAAGAGGTTTAATAAGGGAGGTAGAAAATGAAAATTGTGTAGGTGGCAAGAGGGTGGAGGCTCTTAGGAATGAAGATGGTGTAGTTTATAACCTGAGTAGATGATGGGATGGGATGGGTCAAGTTGACAGCGTGTCAAAGATAGAGATGGGGTGTAGTAATACCAGCGGCCGGAGCCGTGATCAAAGTCAATGGTCGGTCAATCAGGAGTTACATTTGGGAAGGTAAGTCGAAAAAGGGACAAGCCTCTGTCCCTACTAAAGGTAGAGAACCTCACCACTGGCCATGGCAAGCCTGAAATTGAAATGATCCACCCCTTAGGATCTCCATAATGGGCATGGGCTAGACATGGGAATAATGTGCTCACGGTACCCCCAAGGTGGTCATGATTCTCAGCATTGGGGTTTAAAGTGTCGCCTAATCGCCCCGCCCTCTGGCAAAAACGGGCATGGGACTGGCCCCTTTTTCAAAAGTTTAGCTGTATTATGAAGGTAATCTCGGCAATAAATTCAGGAAGTATAGAAAATTTGAATAAGGAACAATTTCCTTTGCCATGAGCCTAGGATCCAAACTTTTTGGTTGCGACTGTAAGTAGTTTCAAGCCAGATTAGCAACCCCAAATCTATGAACATATAAAATCCCCTTAAAGTTAGTTATGCTTATAGTACTTATGCAAGCACAACTATGCTTGCATTTTTTATAACTAATACAAACAAATATCTCGATTTCTTAAAAAAAAAAAAAAATGCATACCCATCTGAGCATTTTGAACATTTTACTTCTTTAATATTGAAGTTTCAATGGTCATATGGCATTTTAAGCTAGCATGGTGATGGAAGAGGCAGAAAGAGAGGGTGTAATAAATGTAAAAAGTATAGGTATTGTCAGGAGGGGAAGGGTCACGATAAAAGGGTAATTATATCAAATAGAGGATATTTATGCATCATGAGGAGGGAGAATTAGTTGTCAAAAGAAAATGAGAAACAGAGGATGGCCGATAGGTTGGGGAACTGAAAATAAGTGAGGGAAAAAGATGTGTGAGTTGCTGTGAAGTGGAGACGGTGTGTGAGGCGAATGGTGAAATGTGTGAGGCGAATGTACCCAATGAGTAGATGGGCAAGAGCAGATGGAAGGTTTAATGTTATAAACTACAGATGTGGGTAAGGCTAGAGCAGTATGACCACCAGCGGGTGAAGAGGAAGACTTAATTGAGCGTGTGGTGGTTGACTGCGCACTCATGATTTCACCATATAGTAGTCTGTTTGGATCCCATTTCAAACTTGTCACTGCTTATTCAAAACATTTTTTATACATAACTTGAACTGTAGGCCCTTTTTGTTGGACTAGGAGATTGAGTTTATTGACTTTTGGAAGAATATAGTTCATAAATTTGAAGTACAGTTTCATAGATCGATCATTAAGAATATTCTTGGTAGTGTGCAAGTCGTCTTCAGAGCTCAGATTTGAAAAGTACAATATAAGAGGATGCCACTGCTCTAATAATCCCTCAACAGCTGCTTGATAGGAAAGCCATCTTGTTTTGCAAACATATATTCCTTACCAGATCTTGGCACCAGCGAGGAAGGCACTTTGAGGCATGCAAGGAACAGATGAATGTGGAGTGGCATATGCAATTGAGGACAGTTCCACGTCTTAGTTCCAATTTCAACCGACTCATGAGAGAATTGTGGATGCCAGTTATAATGTTAGCCCCATCTGAGGCACATCCTTTTTTTTTAAGGTATTTCATGGTCATCTGAGAGAGACTCTCCTGTTGCTCCTGCACGGTCATTGGTAGGTATATTTATTCTCCAAAGCCAGCAGTCTGTTCTGTATTTTCTCACTTTCATATAATTTGACTAATATTCCACAACTCATAGTGGTGTCTATGTCTGTTGTGTCGTCTAAAATGGTGGTAAATTTATTTTCTTTAGTGTTTTCAGCCAAATCGTTCCTCTCATACGGAGTCACTTAACTTGGTTCTTTTAGAGAGCATTTTTAAAGAATATGACACTCAGGAAAGATTTTTAATTAATCAATCGTGGTCAGCAGTGTCAAATGGGATGTTATGCTCTCTGAAAAAGCCAGAATTTGATTTCTAGCATCTGTTTTGTCTTCAAGGGGAAGGAGCCCTGTTTTCTGTGGGCTCGAAGCCGAGACGGTGTGATGACGTGATCACGAGCGCAGCGAAAATGCAATAAAAGGTCTGAAACTGATAGGGGACAACTACACGTGTTTGCACTCGAAATGGTAAGGGTTTGACATTCTTCCAGTGTGGCAGGTAGGTGGGACTTTGGCAGAGGGCCACGCTCCGAAGCAACTGGTTGTACTGCAGATAATTGAGGATATGAGAGCAGATCTGGTACTTTGTGAATAGCCCCTTGACGGTACTAGATGATTAGAGAATCTTACTCGCCTCTAGTGACGTA